CCATAAAAGGCTATGTTTCCTGCCTCAGATACAAGGAAGTGTTCATTCATTCATGAAAAATGACAGCAAAAACTAAAGAAGAACTTTACGAGTTCAGAGATTGAAGTCCGTCTGTCAGAGATCCAGAAAAGAAAATCTGTCATTTTTAGCAGGTCAGCTGTGGAATAAAATGAGCTGCTGAAAGTATAAACAACTGTGTTAAATCATTTTCATTTATTCAGAAGCCACGGCGCTGCGCACCGTATGCCCCCCCGCTGCGCGGTCTCAAGTGGTCTCAGATGTGGGTTTGAAATAAGCATATTAAAATGATTTCAAAATAAGTCTGGCACTTTGGAGAGAAAATCCAGGACTTGCTGGAGGGATTATGTATCCCCTCTGGCCTGGGAACGTCTCGGAGTCCCCCAGGACGAGCTGGAAAGTGTCGCTGGGGAGAGCGGGGTCTCTCTGCTGCTGCCCCCGCACCCGATAGCGGATAAACCATCCGGGCGGACAATTTATATTGTTAGTCTAAATTATTACTTTTTAAATTATAACTCTAATTCAAGCAGAATAGCCTATTGTCAACATAATTATGGAGTGTGATTTATTTTCAACTCAAAATGTCTTCATACTAACGAAATATAAAGTTATTAGGGAGGAAAATCAGTCTGGATAACAGCAGACTGACTGCTCGTAAAATATACGACAGGTCTGGACCACTCGTGAATTTTGTTCGTATCTGAAAAAAATCTTAGAATACGAAAACATTGGTAAATGCCACAAATTCTCCTAAATCACTCGTACGCACAATTTAATAACAAATCTGTGCGTACGAACGGTTCTTGCATGAGGCCCAATGTCTCTAAAAAAAATTAATGAACACATAAAAGGACTAACCTTTAACAGTTTGTGTGTTTTCTAACGCTAGTTTTGCTGTGGTGGCCATTAGGGTTGGGTGATATTGGCAAAAAAAATTAACCGCAATTAATTGTGGCATTTAGCCAATAACAATTAATATGATGATTAATCCCCTGGAGTCCCTGGACGCCTGCATGCTCTAGTCACATGACCAATTTAAATCACTTTTTAGTGGGAAAGATTTGCTCTCTGTAAAAATCTGTTCCAACTTGTGTCAAAAGTACAAACTTCAGACTATACATCAATTTTTAAATTGTGTTGATAGATAAAGTAAAACCGGAGTTATGGTGAATAAATAACAAAACGTTTATTTAATGTGTGTCACATTCAAAGCGGAGAGGAGCATCGAGCGGACTGACCTGGGAAATCTTCTGCCTGGTGGCATTTATCATATTAATCATCAAAAAAATAATAGATTAAAGTTTTTCTGATGAATAATTGCACACAATAAGATTTTGCCCAACCCTAGTGGCCATCTTAAATTGGTTTTGCTGCTAAATGTATTAATTTAGATTGAGATCCAATGTTTGTTTCATGTAAGTTTAAACAAAATCCACCCAGTGGTGCTTGAGCTACATTTGCAGACACTGACTAAAGCTTTAATATCTGCCTAAATATAAAACTGAATCGTTCTTTAAGGGCATTTTAGAATTCTTGTCATTTTTAAAAGTTGGCGTATAGAGCTGGGCAGTAATTCAATAATACTACATATATCACAATACACATATGAAAATTTATCCAATAGAATGTTGATAATTTCACTGAAGTCAGATCCAGAACCACATGGCATTCTGGGGGATGTAGGCAGAGGAAAGGCTTTAGTCGCTCGACTTCTCTCGGCCCAGTTAAGCAAGGTTGGTGGCATCAACTCACTAACTAAACAACCTGTTGAGTAACACACACAGTAGCAGTTTCATGTTTTTTCGGCACCGTGCCTTGTAACTGATAAAAAGGACAAAGTGGAGTGAAAGGAGAAAGTGAGTGCAACAGCTCAACAGGAAATTGTGGATAAAGAGGAAAAGTCACGTCACCAGTTTGGCTGTAATAATCTGCCTTTTTTTCTCCTGGTCTTTATTTCAAATGGGTAAATCAAAAACCTAATCAGTAATTATCAACTGATGTGAAACATTTTATACTTTGAAAACTTTTTTAAGCCACATCACCTAGCCCTAATCTATAAGTTCATCATTTAGTCCAGAATATTCCCCAAAGGCAACAAATGTTCCTTTTAAACATATTTAGAACTAAATCTAAAAGAAATGCAACTAATTTTCTTATTGGCAGGTGAAGTAAATGTTTATTTTTTCAATCCCCTAATTGGATTAAAGGGATGTAAATCATATATTGATTTGTTGGATAATGATACAATGCTTCTCTATCATAAAGTTTGTCATGATATTGATATATCAGTTTATTTCACAAGTCATCAATCGATATGATGCAATATCATATGCTCATCTAAAACAATCACTTACTAAAGGATTGTGTTAGATGGGCATATATAATATCAATCCACAGTGGGCATATGATGATATGAATTGTTTGTTTTGTCTTGATTGAATCATTAATCATTTTATCAATATATCGACGTGGTTCGATGTGCTGTTACACCCCATTTGGATCATTGATAAATTGACACAATGTGTGCTTTTTTGCTTTTAGACAAACAAAAGTCTTATATCTGTAGACTCAAAGTTACACTTGCAGTGTTGACCTTTGTGCAACCGAATGACTACTTCTCTGTTCAATCCCATAATCCATCTGGGAAACCTCCTGCCTTTGTGCCACTTATTTAGAGAGTAATAAGGTTTAGGGAGCCAGATAAACGCTGGGATTACAGGTTTAGATGTAGTCTAAACATAACCAGTCTCTTGCATATGGTCCGCATGAGCATGCTCACACTAATGTCAACACACTGCCCCGATCGACGAACTGCGTGCTTTCGTGCGGTGACAGATGTTGCGTATCACTTCTTTTAAGACCGCCGCGCTCAACCACTGTGTTAACGCCAACACACAGAATGTCTTATCTTGTTTGAGGCTCTGTGATCCAAAACGCTGATGAGTTTAGACCAAACTTTACTTTGGCTGTCTCACAGGGTTAATCTGCGAGGTCAAGCTGCTGGTTTTTTTTTTTTAACAACCTCGAGCACACTTTGATTAAAATGCACTCAGGAGCAGCAGGACAGACGTGTGTGTGTGTGTGTGTGTGTGTGTGTGTGTGTGTGTGTGTGTGTGTGTGTGTGTGTGTGTGTGTG